GGAAACACTGCCTTCAAGGCTTCTGTGCTGAACGCCTTGGCGGTACCTTTCCTTGTCACTTTCCATCGGTCGTCCATTTCAGTTGTGGTGATGATATTATCACGGCCATGTGGACCAAACATCTGCAACAGATGATAAGCAACACAAAGGGTCAACAAGGGTTGTTTCATTGTGGGTGCCACCTTGTCTGATCAGGGTATTCGAAATTGGGGATTACCATGGGTTAAACGAATTCGAAACTCTTGAAATATTGCAGTGCATGGACTTTGGCTGCCAACGCGCCAGCAAATATTTGGCAGTGCAGTCTTAGATGTCGGATGTTGAAGGGCAGAAGACAGCATCTTCCTCATCCATGTGGCAGGAACAATTTCACGCAACAGTTACACTCTGAGAAGGAAAATTTTTGTCACCTCAATTATTAGCAAGAGCCAGTTGGTAAGTCCAACAGGGAAATTGCTGGCAGGATTGGCATGATTGTGTGCACGGGTATGGGTCAAGGCATGTGAGTCAGGGCAGACGCTAGAACTGAGCATATTGACCAAGCATGATGCATGCCAGACTACTGCAGTACTTTCTGCAGGATAGAATCGCAGGTTGGTGAAAAGCAACAACCAGTTCTTCTATTGCAACAAAGTTGCCAGCCAGTGCTGCACCAGTTTTTTGACACCCACAGCAGGGGCTTGTTATGGTGTGTTCACAGGTCTGAAGGCAACTGATGGGGACTATCTGCACTTTCTCCCGCCTCCCAGAAGTACCTCACCAGTCGAAAACCGTTGTAGACAGGGTCCTTTGGGAGGCCATGCGCGCCATATCCAGTGATGTGGTTCTGGATGTACTCCGGATCCATCAGATACATAATGCGCCCAATCCCTGGCAAATCCAACTGGAAGGGCACAGAGGGTCAGGCAAAGGGAGCAAACATAACACAGCACGCGGCGAAGCAGGGTGGTCATGTGGAGTGACTCTTATGAACCTGGGCGTGCACTGTCTTCACTGGCTGGCTGGTATGTGGGTCGGCAGATCGTTCCGCTGCAAATCTACAGAGTTGCATCATACGAGGCAGAAAATTTCGAGCGCCGCTGTCTGCGTCCAATTCAACCAGTTGGCTGCGCACCGACAAGCCAGAAAGCGGGATTTATCCATTTCATCCTAACATTGGGAGAACGGTGCCACGGTGTCGACAATTCAAACTGCCTTGATCCCGCCACACCACATCGATGGGCACTGTGGTTTTTTTTCGGGCGCGATTTCTTGTTCCGCAGCCGTTCTTACACCTAGATACGCAAGAGTTTGGACATTGATCCCTCGTCAGATCGTGCACGGCACGGCCAGACGGCAGTTGCTCTATAGTCCCGTCCCGTCCACCCCACCTTGATGACCTTCCCGTACTCCTTCGCCCACTCCGTAATCTTCAGGTGCATCCGCGGCTTGTCCCAGCTGACGGTTTGAGGCAGATTCCCGAGCAGGGGGTACCCCTGAGGCCCCGGGACCAGGTGCCAGTCGTACTTGATCCGAAACCACCATTTCTGCAGGATGCGGAACACCAAGACGGCCAGAAAGGCCAAAGCCGCCAGCTGCTTCAAAATGCGAAGGTCCATCGTCCCTGGGCAGCCTGTGGGCGAATTGTCCGTGCGGTTTGGTGCTGGCTCTCAACGCTGGAAGGGCGTGCCGTCTCTGGTCGGCGACGTCCACCAATATGACCTGGCACGGGAAGTTGGAGGCTGTGGCACACGCGGGATCCGCGGAGCCACAAGGTGCAGTGTAGATGCCCAAAGTGTGACCCGGGAATGGCGCAAGGTCAGTACTGCCTGCCTCCTGTGTGAGCAACGTGGGTACCCGAGTTGCAGGTTCCCAGAGCCAGGTATCGACGGGCATGAGGTCAGCGTGAGGTTCCCTACGAGTGCGAGTAGGGAACCGGGCTGTCCCGGCGGGACACGTGAGGCTGGTCCCTCACTGTCAGAGACCCATCATTCAACTACGTCAGCCGTCACAATGTCCGATTCCCTACACACAGGCGGCACTGCCACTGCCCTGTGAGCAGTCTGTTCATGCGCCCAGGAAGCGCAGCGCAATGCGGCGCTGGGCCCAGCGACCCTGGAGGCTGCCGTCGCTTTCCGCGTTCGTGTCCTCATGGTGCGCAGCACACCTAACACCTTGGGACCTGCTCCCCATCGGCGAGGCCAGCGATGGAAGGGCGCTGACGCTGGAGAATTTCGAAAATTCATCTGATGGCCGACCGAAGGGAGCCCGATGGAGGTCACGCCTTGGAGGGTAGAGCGCGGGGGGCGTTGCCAAACGCAGCCTACCTGTATGGGATGCTTTCTTGGCGGGGTTGTGCTGAACTGCCGGAACACAGTTCCCCAATTTTTTCGTGGGCATGAGGAGATCTCAGTGTCTAGTTTAGCCCACGTGGCAAGCAAGCGCTTCAAAAGCCGAAGCCGCGAATCTTCAATTCTCGCCTTGCTTGAATCTCGTTGCAAACCTGATCGCCCTCAATAGATCTCCCCGCCATTTTCCGGCCATCGCCTTTTGGTTCGTCCTTGGCACCATGACTGACAGCATGAGGCTTTGGCTCTCCTGCAAGATGTGGATCCGGCCGTTTGCCCCTCGTTGCCGCCCCGCGCGTGTGAGCTTCTGCGTTCTCTTGGCGTGCTTGCCTGGCTCTCCTGCCGTGGGCCGCAGTCCGCCAGGAACTCATCGCCAGGTCTGGCGCCCCTGCGTCTCACGTAGTCCCGGCAGCCCGGGCACCCATAGGCAGTGGGGACCGCATACACGGCTCTTGCGGGACTGGCTGTGGGTGTCTGCCACCACCCGGGACCGCCTCCTGGACCGCCACCTGTGACTCTGCACAGGGCCAGGAATCAGGGATTCCTGCCACATGTGACTCAGCACAGGGCGGAATCAGTGATTCCGGGCCGGCATAAAATTACTCCCCGTTCTTGTTTGCTGAGATTCGGTTCTTGTTTTCGGACACCCTAAACCCCAACTACTGTTCCACTCACTGGGACTGGCCTTGTCAGCAGAACAAGAACCGAATCTCAGCAAATAAGAACTGGAAGTAATATATTCTCTTCCGGGCCATGGCAGGGTGGGCGGGACACGGCTGATTCCCCCACATGTGATGTACTGCGCTAATGTACTAGCCCAAAATTGCCGCCGGGACAAGCAAGACAACAGAGTTCTGAACAGTGGCCACAACAATGGGGCAGCAGCCAGCGGTCACACATGGGCACAATTGCCTCTGTCCCAGGGCATTTTTTTCCATTTTACCAACACAGTTCACATGATCCAGTCAAGGGCGACTGGCGATTGCGTATTCGCTGTCAGTCAGAACAAGGCGCCCAATCCAAACTTACACAGCAGATTGCAGGCTGTTCGAAGTATGTGTGCAATATACCTTCCGCAAGGCACCGGCTTGCTGATATGTGAATGTTTGGTCAGCCACAAAGGAGCCCATACTCGCAGGGAAGTCACAAATGTTCGATGCCCTTCATTTACGGACATGAAATCATGAAGGTCATGGAGCCATGAAAGGCATTTTCGAGTACTTGGTGTGTAGGGCTTCAGTAGGTCCCTAATGCCTTTCATGACCTTCGTATCCGGCAATGATTGGTATCAGGCAATTCTCATGAAGGAAACATTGCGCACTGTGGTTGAGTACATCGGCCTGGTCCTGATGCACTGGCCAAGGATAAAGCTGCTGCCACAGGAATTGATTTTGAATGTCCTGCAAGGAGCGACAAGCATTGAAAGTGCATTGATTTTGCCTTCGTATGAGCTGGGCGCCAGAAGGGTCCAGCCAAGCAGAAAGGCTCCGTCCAGTTTATGGACATCTCCTGGCGCATCTGGAGGGGCTGAATCCCTTCCCCGTGTTTGCACACTGTAATCGAGAAACCTTACAACTCTATCTTCTCAGGGCCATGCGCCAAATAGAGGTTCGTCGAATTTGTGCAAAAGAGAATTAAACCAGAGTCTCCAGGGCCACTTTCGAGAAACCCATGATGCACGGCTGCGAGTCACAGGTCCTGGCAACCACCTTCCAAGGATGGTCCAGTTTCCACATTATCTCATGCAGTGGTCGTGCTCATCGTGCTGCACTCTTTTCGAGCATGCCATGCAGAACTCCAGGGGCTGCATTTGACAGAGGATACGGCAAAGCCTTGCAGGCGACGATGGTTGCAAGCAACATCATCCAAAATACTTGTTTAACATCGCGTTTGGTTTCTGTGATCGTTGCTCTGCACAACGGCTGGCGCACAATGCTCAGTGCTGAGAAGCGACTACAGGAAAAGCAAGAGATGGTCATTGGGCTGCAGTGTTCTAAAATGCAGAAGGGACCTCACGTCTCTGCAAGTGGCAAAGGAAAAAAATAGACGTCCGGTGCCAGCTCTCCAGAAAGAGACTGAGAAGAGACAAAGATCCGGCAGAAATATCTAGCCGTCCTGCAGAGAGGCAAAACATTGAAAACAGCCATACTAAAGGCCGCGTTGGTCTACACCATGCTGGTGCGCCCCTGCCTCGTAACTTACCCACTCTTCACATGAACCAGAACGAAGCTGTGTGACTGACGCCCATGAGGGCCATGCAATGAAGTACCTTGTCCATTTCAAATGCAAGCCCATGCTACAAGCGACAAATCATGCGATGGCATAGCGGCCCCTGTGGTGCAGCAATGGAACTTGTGCCACCAGCGCATGCATCATGCCCAACAGATTGGTTTGGGATCAGCAGTAGGAAGTGGGAAAGCAACCTTTTCGTGAGCCGTTCCCCAAGCAAATCTTGACTTGCTACGCTCATTGGAACAACAGTGGCAAGGCATCAAACTCTCGAGGTGGTTGTCCATGCAACAATAGTAATTGAGCGGACCGCACAACAGGAACCATGATACCCAATAGCTGTGCAGCTTTGGACGCTTGAGTGGGGGTGCCATCCTCCCACGCCTCCATCTTGATGTTTGCAGGCCATATCCTTTCCTCCAGTTGTGAAGGCGCATCCGATTCTCAAGCATTGTCAATTCTGGGTTGGAAATTCAGCCACATTCCGCCGTCAATGGACAAAGCCATCGCGTTGTACTGGCGGGAAGCAACCCCTTCCCAACCACACATCCTGTCCGCAAGCCTGCAGTCAGCAGAAGCAAATGCCATGAGATTCCTCCTGAGCAGTTGTGACCTGTGTGCTATAAAATGGGCGACTTGACAGAGAGATTCACTGTATCTGGGTTTGGCCAAACCCATAGCGCCCAGTCAGAAGTGAAGAAATTGCTATTAGTGGAAACGAGAAACATGCCATGCAATGGGCACTTCCCCTCCAGAACAGGGTGTCACTCGTTCTGTACTGTGAAATATGACGTAGAATCTTCGATTGCTGGAGAAGAGCACAGCAGCGCAGAATGTCAGTCAGCAGAGGCTGGCACTTCAAATTGATGCTTTATGCACATCTCTGGCATCCTTCTCCAGCATTAATAAGGAACCAGCGTGACCCAATGTGCAGTGGCACTTTAACCATCTAGAGTGTCCCATATTGACTTGTGGGAGACTTTCCACATACAGATCAAATATGGTCATACTCTGGGCAAGACTCATCGTGCAAACGAGCAATGACCTGGGCTCCCCTGTGCTGGTGATAACAAGAAGCTCTTTGGCCGCTAACATGCGTCACCAATGTACAGTACACCACTCCATACTTAGGGCAGCTGGCTCAACTGGATGATACCTGATTTCAAATTTGGCGAGCAAGACCGCCAAAACAGTGTACAGCTCCATCAGTGCCAGCCTCTGGCCCACACAATCCCGCGGCCCATCGCTGAAGGCCCAGAACCTCCGCGATGCACTCTTTTTCTCAGGCCGTGCCTCAACGTCCGATGCCTCCATTGGCGCCTGGTTGGACCACCTCTCCGGGATGAAGCGCTCAGGCTCTTCCCACAGCCAGGGTGCATTGTAGAGAGGATGGAATGCAGCATTGACTAGTGTGCCCTTGGGTACCCGATATCCGTAAACTCGCTCTCCGTCTTTGGTCGTCATCCTCACGCTGCCAAGGGGCACAACTGGAAACATCCGCATCCCTTCTTTCACCACCATCAACAAATAATTGAGTCCCGCTATGTCAGCATATGTCACCCTGTTGACACTGCCATCCCTGAGGCGCTGAAACAACCCACTGTCTTTCATCTCCGCTTCTATCTTCTGCTGCACTTCTTGAAGAGCAGCAATTATGAACAGCACCCACATAATCTGGTGGGCTGTGGTGTCCGTGGCCCCTGTGACGAAGGTTGCCACTTCCGGGCGAATGGCCTCATCATCCAAAGGTGCACCCGACTCTGGGTCTTTCAGCCTCATCAAGCACGCCCACAGGGACAGATCATCTGCACTGGGCTCTCCCCTTCCCCTCAGCTCTCCCAAAATCCATTCATACTCGCTGTGGAGTTGGCTATACATCTTTTTGCAGTCCTGGGCAAGTTTGCCTGTGGGAAAGAGCCATTTGACCATGCCTCGGAAGGGGTTTGCAGTCGAAATAAACATATCAGTGCTGCAGAACATAAGGGCTTCGAACAATCGGCAGTCCTTGTCTTGCAGGGCCTTGAAGTCGATGCGGAAACCTGCGAGCCCAACAATGTCGAGTGCGAGGCGAGATAGCAGGGGCTGGACATCAATTGGCTCTTTGACAGGCGTGGCTTTTATGATGTCCGAAAGCTCATCAGCCTTCTTCAGAACGTGAGGAAATACTGCCCGCAAGGCCTCCACACTGAATGCCTTGGAGACCCCCTTCCTCACCACTTTCCACCGAACATTCATTTCCTGTGTGCTGAAGATTCCATCGTTGTCAGTTGGAGTGAAGAGCTGCAGAAGACGTTGTGCAAAAGAAAGTGATTAGCATGGCTTGTGGCATTGTGGGCAGTAACTTGTTAGGCCAGGTCAATCACATATGGAGGGAAGTTGTTTCTGCACAGTTGGCAAGCAGTTGCCAGTTTTTGCCATTGGACATAAGGGTTCCGCAATTATGCAAGCAATATGCATATTGGCACATGGCCACCACCAATAAAGCACCGTGGATCTCCCAAGAGACCGTAAGGTGTTCAACTTGCACCACAGCTCCAAAGCAGCATTCCTTGCATAATTGTGTCATTGGTCGAACAGGCAGCAAACCAGCCAACAAACGCAAACAGTAGCTATTTGCATCAGATCGCAGGGTGTGCATGCAGCTGAGATGGAGACTCCAAAACAGAGATAATGTATCCAAAAATTTACCAGAAGACACTTGGCACAAGGGTAATGAGCTGTGGCCCAAGTCAACAACCAGCTGTTGCAGTCGCCTTGAAAGTGCAAGGGCAATGCTTTGTCATTTCCAGCAAATAATTTGTCAATTGACTAATCACTAACCAGGATTGATCAAGAGGCTGCTCCTGACACAGAACCAGATGATCAAGAGGTTGCTCTTGACGCAGAACCTGATTGGGAAATCTCATTTACCTGCTTTCCCCCAGGGCTCCCTTACCTTTCTCAATGCCTTGTAAAGTGGAGCTTTGGGAAGACCGTGATTGCCATGGCCAGTAATGTGGTTCTGGAGGTATTCTGGATCTGTCACCCAGAGATTGCGCCCAATGCCTGGAAGCTCTGCCTGCATGACCAAAGAGTAACAGCAGATGGGCCAAGCAGGGGTGGATGGAATAAATGTCCAAGACAAGAAACGTGGCTGTTGTCACGTCTGTGTTGTTATTGGTTAGACAGGGCCAGACAGAGACAGAATCTGGCCGTCTACAGAAAGGGGTTGGGGTGGCCGCTGATATAGGAAGTGGGGGTGGTTGTGATTGCTGGACAGCCTGCACAAACAGTGGAAACAGTTGTGCCACAATTCGTTGCTGGCAGATCTCCACAAACAACAAAGGAATACCTTGAATGGGGCTATGGCTGTTCATTGTAGGAAATTGGACCAGCAGCCCAATAGACTATTCGTGGGTTAGGGAACAAAATTTGTCTGAGGGCGAATCCTTGCGTTGTGCTTATCATCCAACATCGCTAGTCTGAAAGGGCTTTGCCCTGTGGTGTTCTTGCAAATGTCAAAAAATTGGCATTTGGTTTGTGGGAAGGGGGCCTCAGCGCCCTGCAACATGCTCCGCCTTGAAAAGCATGATTCCACGACTGGAGTCCCACAAGGTTGGTTGCCAGGCATGTGCTAACTCAGCAAACACTGAAGTGAACAAGCTGCAGGCCCTGACTTCTGCTTCTCTGCATCCTGACCGCATGGGGTGACGGCACAGGGAACACCACAGAGCTCTTCCTGAAAGCTAGTATTGCCTGTTGAGCTCAATACACTGCCTTCTCAGTTCAAAACACGCCGACAGCGATAGCTTCCAGCCGTGGCACAGGTTGGCACCAACGGCTGATGTCCGGATTGGCACCCGGATCCAGAGGGGATCTGCAGAATTGCGTCACAGAAAAGTAAAGTTCGAATGCCAGTGCCTTCATCCTTTGGGACCACGACCATCGGCTACTGGTAGCTGTTGAAGCGCCCCTTGTCTGGTTTCATCGAAATAAATGGAAAATGTCTTTATGTCGTCCGGCATTCAAATTTGCCTCGATCCAGGCCCACTGCTTGGCAACGCTGAATGTTTGGACTTGCACACCAGCCCTGACGCCGAGGGACATACCGGCTTCGCCATCCTTTGAGATTCAACCCCCAGACTTTCACGGCTCGGCCTTCTCTACCAGCGGGAAGCGATCGCACAACGGCCACGTGAGCCAATCGCCTCTCCCGCTCATCCCACCTTGAAGATCTTCCCGTACTCCTTCGCCAATCTCGTCACCGCCAGGTGCATCTGCGGCTTCTCCCAGCCGACAAGCTGAGGCAGGTTTCCGATTAGGGGGTACCCTTGAGGCCCGGGGATCAGGTGCCAGTCGTACTTTATGCGAAACCACCATTTGTGCAGGATGCGGAACACCACGAAGGCGAGGAAGGCCACCGCCGCCACCTGCTTCAAATGAGGAAGCTCCATGGCCGCTGGACTGTCTGCCGACGAGCTGCAGGCGCTTCCTTACCGACTTGTAGCACACTCGCGCCGTCGACACTGATGAAGGAAACCCACCCGTTGGGTGCGGGTACATACAGAGGAGCGACCTCTCCAATGCCGCCCCGTGGCAGCCCCATTTCACCGGCCTCATTGACCGTTGGCCTTATTGAGGTCCGCAGTCCATTTAAGGCTGTAGAAGCCTTTTACGGCGCATTAGACATCATATAGTGCATGTACTGATTATTTTTGAGAGTATTCTGATAGCAAAATATTGTTAATACTTTATTCGTTGCCCAATAAGAAGCGTAGTACTTTACTTGGTAGCAATGATTGTCAATAGGCAATCGTCCAACCGAAGGAGGGTGTTTTTGAACTTGGTGACCGGTGCTATGAAGTTGCGAACGCCCCTGCGCCCGCGTGGACACAGCGCTGAAGGCCCGAGTGCCCGGTATTATACCGGCGTATACCTCGTATACCGGCGGTATACGAGGTAGCCAAAGATCCCTGGTTTGCGAACGCCCCGCACGGCGCAAAGTCTTGCAGCCCAGGGGCGAAAACGTCCCTCGTGCCTTGACCGCCCCCTTGAGCGGCCGCTCGTTCCGCCGGTAGTCGCTTGAACTTGTCTTTGTTCGTTCCAGAGCCATCTGCATTGTCCTTGCCCAATTGTTCGCCAATCTCCGAATCACTCCCAAACAAGATTTGACCTTGGTCAACTTCCATAGCGTGGAACGGTGGCAGCATCTCGCCCACACTCTACCCCTTGTCGACAATAGATCGAGGTGGCGCAACAATACGATCGTAGCAAAGGCTACACACAGGATCCATTTCTGAACGGGATCCACTTCTCCACAGATCCCGTGGAGGTACCCATGACACCCCAGAGCGCTTGTGCATAGTGTAGTGAGGCGGTTGGGGGTGTCGCAGGGCAGTTTGCACTTCTTGCCTTCGAGGCAAGGCATGGCAGCGCCCCTCACACTCTCAAACTGCCTGTGGCCACGCCTTTCTGGTATTTTAGTTCGTCCCACCGGATATGGCCGATATTCACCGGCCTTATTGACCGTCTGGCCTTATTCAGGGCGGCCTTAAAGGGGTCACCTCACTTTATTGCTTCCCCAGACTTTTAGCTGGCTCCCCAGTACCGTTGGTTTTGAAACTCTTACGCATAGTAACGTAACGCTTGACTTTTTTGCTGAGAAAACAGTGAAATAAATAACAGTCGTTGTGGAGCAACGTAAAATGATAAAAACAATGCTTTGCAAAGCAGACTGTGGAGCAAAAAGCGTGACGTTAAAGTTTTCGGATGCGGAAGGGCCTAAAAGCCCACAGTACTTTGGTGTTTACCTACAGGGGCCATCCACCACCACAAAGACTGGCTCTTCACCAAAAGACTGGGCGTTTAAATGTCTTCCCCTGAGATGTCGCAGCATGCGTGGAAACAGAGGCGCACCGGCAACAGTCAGCTCAACTTCCGTGTCCAGGAACCGTTGGGTTCCTGACGCTGTCTGAGTCAGAGATTCCAGGTCGAAATTCTGTGCCGCAAGCACCGTTTGCCATACCTGCTGGAACAGTTTGTCGGCGAAGGACGTCCTTTCTCGAGTCCGGACTCGAGGCCCTGGCCAAGGGGGCGGCAGGTTCGACCTGTTTCGACCGACGTCAACCAGTCCCAACAGCACCCATCCCTTCTTCGCCTTCGGGTTGTCGTAACGACGCCAACGCTTTGACGTATTTAGTCAAAGCAATTAGCGTGGCTATATTCAACCCTTCCGCGTCAGAAAATTTACTGTTATGCTTCTTGCTCCTCACTTTATTTTTACTGCCACTCCACAGGAAAAGGCCAAGCGTTACGTTACTATGTGGTAGGGATGAATAAAATACTGTAGTCGTGCTTGACTGTCACTGACTGGAAAATGACGGCAGACTGATGGCGTGTGTGCCACACGCGCAGCAACCATCACCATGATGCCGTGGTGCTGTTTCGTCTTTCGGTGGACTGGGTGCTGCGAAGAACGGCGGTCCATTGTGGCCGTCGTCCCCGGAGATAGCGCAGTAACACCACCCTCAAACGGGCAGCTGAGACATGTCGACAGCCTCAGCACCACAGCAGTTGAGGGTGCACTCAACGAACAAGCTTCGCCCCTCGCGCGAGCCGGCGCTTCACGAAGAACTGCTTGGCATGCCGACACGACCAACAAAATTGAGGCGATGGCAAGGAGAAGCTTCAAACGGGTAGCGAAACCCCCAACTGCCAGCCAGCCATGCAAGTACGCTTGTAGTGCCTCTCACAGCTGCCGCTCTGAGCGCCGCAATCGGTCGCAACCGCTCCTCAACGGTCGACGAAGTCAAAACGGAGGTCGGGTCCGCGGGTCAGGGCTGCCTCGTCCACTGCACGTCGGCGTATGATACGGGAAGTACTTCAGTCCGCCTCGACAAGGCTGTGCAGCGACGAAGGGTGGTCGCTTCTGCAGCAAAACCGCGCTGGCACTGCTGGTCTTCAGCGGCAAGGAAAGCGGCTCAGAAAAGGCACAGACTGGCCGTGACCTTCGAAAAGGTCGAGCGCTATTGCGCTCAGGCTGTGGCGAACATCGCGCACAGGGCCAGGGGAGTCAGGCAGCCAGGCCGAGCGCCTAAACCGCCGCGCGAGACACACATGGACCCCACGCAAACGCTGTTACAATTCAGAGTTCCCCTTCGTGCTGTCCGCACCCCTCCAGCAAAAGTACCACCCATGCCTAAGAGATGCTCTTTTGATACCCAGAATCTTTCTGACACGCCCGCCGCTTCACCACAACTCAACCCAGGACGCCCCACTGGCCACAATCAGCCACCACGTGTGCCCCAAAGGCCACATTCTCACCAAACAACCACACTTCCCGTGGTCAGCAATCATGTAATGCCCCACGGGGCATATTCCCATCAAAAAACCATGTGGCGCCTCCACGCGCCCCTCCTGGATCCGTCTCGCCATGATCCACGGAACGGACATGTATAGAGCACCCTTGATTGATGTTTTGGGGTTTCTGCCTCATTGAGCGCCAAACTACTGGATGATTTTCAGTATGGCGAAGGTGTTGAGGCTGTCGACATCCCCTCTGCACCATATCTGGAACTCACGGGTCGCCAGCTACGTGATATCATTTATGCACTAACTTTTTTGATGAGCCCCATTAATTGGCGACCCGAACATGGGCCCAATCTCGCCATTTCACTGCGCAAAACTCCGAACATCTGAATTCGTCTCTCGCCCACCCTGGGGCAGTTCTGAGAGATTCAAAACAGAAATTGGCGCTCAATCCAAATAGACTATTCATCGCCTTTCAGCTGCATCTCCCAAGCTTTACCACGCCTTGTTGCAAGGTGCCCTTGCCTTCACCATCATCAGTTCACCATCATCACCATATTCCAGCGCTTCTCTAGGCCTTTGAAAAGGGTGCAGCTCCACCGACTCATCTCCCTATTCGGAAGTTGAGTCAGAAAAATTCAAACCATCATATTTGACAACTTGTCATCGGATTCAACATGTTCTTTTTCGCAACCCATTCTCTCCACCTTTTTGGATCTTATTCCCGATCACCTCCAACAGCAGAATCAAACATGCTGTGATGGTGATCCATCATCCGCTCTAATCTTCTGCTATCAGAATTTCAAATCACACTGTGGTGGGCCCATTTTCCCAGGTCATTTTCTGCACTTCAACATCAATCAAGATCACAAACACAGTTTGTGATTCCCAAACACAATCGCTAACTCTGCCCAGCGAGAAACGAAGCCAGACAGAGTATCATGTATTTTGATGAGCACAATGCTCTGAGCACGCAAAGTGGCGATCTCAAGCAATGGCTCGATCGACATTTCCAATAGCGAAGAAGCTTTCCAAAACCTCTTAACCAACTCTCAAACACAACCAGAAATGAATCCTCATTGTTTCCATCATGTCTGACATGCAAAACGTGCACGTACAGTTCATCTTTCAGAAGCGCCAAATCAGAATCACCAGAAATCGTACATCTATATATATACCCAGTGCTCCAATGAAATTTGCAGCTGTAACTGCCGGCAGAGAAGAAAATGTCCTCGCCCATTCAGCTCAGGATCATGGCAACACCTCCAGAGCATCGCACGAAACCGGTCCCTTGCCAACGAGCTTTGTCCATTTACAGCAAATGAGTCAATGATTACCTTCTCCCTTGCAGCCAAGTTAGGATTCCTCGAGCCGCCGAGTTCAAAGTAGGAAGGTCTTGTGACGCCGTAGTGTAACCCAGCAGTGATCAGTTCCGCGGAAAACTGATGCACTAAATGAGCGGCCGCACCTCCTCAGGTCCCTCGAAGTCAGAATCAAACCCTAGCATAGCCAGGGCGTTCACCATTGCTCTCATCACTGATCCTCTCACGAAACAGCGCAATATCATTCTTGCACAATTCCAGCAAAATCTCCAACCACCCATCAGTCATCAGATCTCTTGAATCTACCGACTGGCTGCACATTTTGGGACACTCCATGCTCAACAACTTCCAGCAGCCTGCCTTTCAAGCTCACTTACTTCTCCGATAATAACCTTTCGTGCAAAATGTCGTTAGTGAGCCAGTAGCACAATTAATGTGCAACATCTTGATTAATAACCTTTCGTGCAAAATGTCGTTAGTGAGCCAGTAGCACAATTAATGTGCAACATCTTGATTTCCAAGCAAATTGTAAAAACTATTATGTTCAATATGTCCAATCGACCCATAATGCAATAAACATATTCAAAATCAAAGAAAAACATGTTTTGAAGTTGCGCAACATTACCATTTCTACACTTGTGTAATATCCACTAACGACATTTTGCACGAAAAGGTGTTCGATTCCAACTTCACGAATGCCACAGCAGAATGCTTGAACAATGCAGCTGCTTCCCACAGTGCGAAATTCAACACACAGTTGTATATCATTCCAACGAAAGATGTCATTGCATATACGGTTCCCAGTCATCAACAAGTTCTACGCC